AGGATGCTCATCGTGTGTGTGTGTGTGTGTGTGTGTGTGTGTGCATCTACAGGATGTCTTTATCCCGGGTTCAGAGTCTCAGACTGGCAGCTGTACTGGAGGACTGTTCAGACCAGTTGGACATACTGGGACACACTCTGACGGTGCAGATCAACAGGGAGCAAGGCACTGCAACAGCACAGGTTGTCCATGTTCACTGAGGAACATCTGACTAACAGCTGTCTGCTCTGATCTGATGATGATGTGACTGTGTTTCTGCCAGGTTGTTCTCCATTTTGTGGACAGATGTATTAACCCAAATGATGTGTGTGTGTGTGTGTGTGTGTGTGTGTGTAGGAGAAAGCCAGGCTGACCAAGCTGGTGAGGGACTGGTGAGTAATACAGACAAACGGACAAAAAACATGATGTTGCATCAACATTTTTTCTGACTACGTTCGTCTCTCTGTGCAGTCAGTACATCTCACAGCAGGTTTCCACGCTGCATGTGGAGCTGGAGGAGAAGCAGAGTTTCAGTTCTGTGCAGCAGGTGGTGGGGGAAGTGAAGAAGAAGAAGGTGGATGAGAACAAAAGAAGGTTCATCCCTGCATCATCTGGAAACCATACTAATTAATGAATTGATTCATTGTTTGCATTTGTTTTTAAAAAGACGTTTGTATTGAAGCCAAATAGCCATATTTTCCTTAAACAAATACACATGAAAAAGACAGACAGAGAGGCAAATGAAGTACCCTATCAAGTAAGGTATGGGGTCCATTAAGTAGACAGTGGGAGGATAGGGAACAAGTTTCTCTAGGCAAGGGGGTGCAGTAAGAGCCCTGTTTTTTCTCATGTTGCGGATTTCCCTTCTTACACTAGACAGTATCTTTTCAGGTGTAATAAAAGGAGAAAGTCTGTCTTGTATCAGTAATGTGAGTCTGTCCACCCAGAGAGTTAATGAGAGAGCTGGAGGTGAGAAGACAAAGACTGCTGAGACAAAAAGATGAGGTCCAACAGAAAGTAGAGAAACTGCAGGTGAGACACTTAAGAGCAGATCCAAAAACCATGAGGGAATCTGTCCATTTTGGTGAACTGACCCTTTATTTAAGAACAAAATCGAACATTTTAGTCTGAAGGTGAATGCAGTACTTCATAACTGCCCCCCTTCAGGTCATGGACCGGCTCTCCAGAGACATGAAGTATCAGCTGAATCTGCAGTCATCAAAGTTGGCCAACAAGAACAAGATTGTGGAGAAAAAACTTGAGCTGAAGCTCGAGCAGACACAGAAGGAGAACAGCCAGGCCGAGAAGCTGCTGGAGGACCAGCTGCAGGTGGGTCCAGCATCAGTTCCAGTTCAGTGTGGGTTAGGCCTCCTACCCACCAAGCCCACAGAAACCGACACGAGAGTGCAGACATGATCTCTGGCCTGCTCTTTGTTCTCTTCTTAAGCAGATGACCAGTGCTCTTACATTTTTCTCAAACTTATAAAGTAACAAATGCACACCGAGACTCCAGAGTTAAACGCTGTCCAAATCAAGTCATCTGTCATTTCATTCTCTCTCAGATGTTGCACAAACAGCTGAAGGACGAGAGGAGAGTTCATGAAGAGTCGGAGACATTCCTGCAAAATCAACTTAAGGTCGGTATTCACTTTTTAATGATATTACAATTATAATGTTTAGGTTTAGCATGTATCCAGTTCTTGCATCCTGTAGAAATCCCCTCACTGCCACTAGAGGTCACTGTGCCTGAGCTTGAAGTTCAACACTGGTTCACCAGGAACTGTATTTACCAAGCTGCTAAAACTGAAACTTAAGTGAAAGATAAAAAGTAAAAATCTTTTACTTTAACTCTTACTTGCAAACTTAAGAATAAAAGCTGTTTATCAAATATGCTCTGAGCGTACGTGATTAATCATGTGATCACTTTAAGTGGCTCTGAAAGGTTACTCCTACACTTTGGTGTAAGGAATAAGTTGCTTGATAAATGTGTCTTAATTCATCTCTCAGCCAAGATCTTCTTTAACATCTAAGTTTGTTCTGAAGAGCATTCTTTGTTTGTTAAATACAGACCCTGGTTTAACAGAGGTTGAACATCAAACAGTCCAGTATAAGCATTTCTACAGATCAGATCTTTTTATTTATCTCTCAAATTACAAATCTTTCACTATGTATGATGACACTAAATGCCCCTAAATGTTACACACTTGACCTTTAAAGCAACAAACGGATTGATTAATTAATGGCAATAACCTTATAGTCATTTATCAATGAATGCACCAGCACAAGTCCTTTATCTGCAACGAGGATGTGGCAAACAGTAAAGTCAGGTCTTATAACAAAATGTCATCAAACATCCAGTTTGGCAATGCTTCAACATAAGCTGAGCTCCTTTTTACTCAGCTCTGTGTTAAACCCCAGCAAGCTACAGTTGAGCTGAACTTGTATTCAGCTAGCCAGATTCTTGTTGAAACAGCAAAAGCCCCCTGTGGTTCCCCCCCTGCTGGTATTGTCTGATTAAAGAGGAACGTATGACATCATTTTTGTTTGAGGTTTCAGCAGATGCAGCAGAGGCAATGGAGAGTGTCAACAGGTGATGTTAATGTCCATAATGTTTTTTAATGCTGTTTTGCTTCTCCTATGCTGTTCCATTGCCTTTTTGTTACCATGCAAAGTTCCCTTGAGTACCTTTTGAAGTGCTATATGAAATCAGTTGCACACTTAATCTTTCATACTTTATACTACCGTCTACACTGCTGACTGCCTAGCGTATGTCACAGAATTCTAGGCGGTGTTGAAGACTTACTGAAGAATTACTGGATTTAGTCTGGAAAAGAAAACCTCCGTTGTAATGAACAGTGTAGAATGGGACCAGAATCAGTTGATAGTATAAGAAAGTGACTGCACATTTAATCAATGAACTCAAAAGACTGGATTTATTGTTGAGTTGCTCTTTAAGTTGTTGGTCATGTTTTGCACCAGCAGTTTATCTTTTTGTTTCTGTTACTTGTCAGTAAAACATTTGTCTGTGTTCTGCTCGTTTTATGATTCTTTATATTAATCAGGTGCAGCAGCAGCAGCAGCAGCTGATCTTGTTGCTGTTGTTGTTTCAGGAGTTGCAGGAGCAGCTGCAGCAGTGGCAGCAGAGCACAAAGCAGATGCTGCAGAAGAAGGAGCAGCAGCTCAACAGTTTGTGCTGCAAAAGGACACTGAATCTGGACAGACTGACGGATATGAAGAGGAAGGTGAGCAGCTCCCAGTGCTGAACATGACTCTGCGAACAGCTGCCGGTGCTGAAGAGGGTGCACAGTCACTCTTAGATGAACATTAATGAGGTGCTGAATTGTGTTCAGTTCAAGGAGATGGAGCAGGTGGTGATGGAGGACAGGGAGGAGCAGGAGAGACTGCGCCAACAGCAGGAAGAGGCCAGAGCTGCTACCAAGGTAACAGCATCCAATCAGTTCAGATCTGGTTATTTAGTGTACTGATCCCTAATTCTGACCCTGGCTGTGACCTTTGACCCTACAGCTGCAGGCCTGGTGGAGAGGCTGCATGGTCCGCCGGGGCCTCGGTAGTTTTAAAAAAGCAGAGGATGACAAGAAAGGAAAGAAGAAGAAGGAAGGAAAGAAGAAGAAAAAATGAGTTTTCTCCAGCACTCCTTTGACACATTGAAATAATAAATAGAATTCAATAGAACATTAGACACTGCCATGCAAGTCTCTGTTCTTTATTTGTGTTTTTTCAAGTCATTTCAAACATAAAGTATGCAACAAAATAAAAGACAAAAAGACTTATCTTATACAATATTCAAGAAGAAAGAGAAAAGTAGTACACTGTGTGAGTAACATGGAGCATATCAGCATCATATTATACATAAACATGTCAGCAGAAACAATAGTAACACCTTGATTCAAAGTCTACTTATTACATATTTTATAGACAGGTTGACCTTAATAAAATAATAAAAAAATAAAAATGAATGAATAAAAAGGCCAAACTGTCATTTAATACGATTAACAGCAAAAATAAAAAGCAAGAAATCAGAATGACTTCCAGCAATGAACACTACTAAGTAGTCTACTGTTAGTGACCATAGGCCATACATTTGAACATAAGTCAACACCTTTATCATGACATGATAAGTAAGTAACACAGTATTTCAATAGCATGCACTCAGTCGTACAATATACAATTCATAAGATGATGAAATGGATCCTACAGCAACTTCTCTTTCCTAACAAAGAAAATAAGTCAATATCAGATCACTTGACCTTAATTCCAGAAAGATCAGATGCTTGTAGAGAGATGAATCATTACAAAGTCACATCCATGTGGGAAATTAATGCGGTACAAATGCTCCCAACTTTATATCATTCACATCATATCATCATATCTGACAGAGGAGCAGAAACCCCAACATTGCAAAACAGGAAGCCCATTTACATTAGAGAAGTATTTTTAAGGATAAAATATGGGGAGCTGACGTTTGTTTGTGCGTGCAGGAACTCTTACACCACTTAGAGAACTACAATGAGCTATGGTTGTGTTTTTAAATCAGTGTTTCAAATGTCAGGGTTAGACCAGGGGTCACAGTCAAAACAAATGACAGAGCTGAAACAACAAGAAATCCTTTTAAAAAATCCTTAAATGCTCTTTTTACTATTCTGACATTTTATATACCACACAATTAAGTCACTTAGAAAATTAATTGGCAGATCCAAAAAAAGTGGTCTGGGGGGAGGTGATATTGATAATATTGCCAAAGATTGTGTTGCCGGAGGGTGTAGTGTGTCAGCTCTGTGCGGCCGAAGCCTCACACTCACACTTGCAGTTAATTTGTTTCAGTATAGTCGGACTGCTCGGCCTGCATGTAGTTGTTGTTGCCGATGATGACACAATTGAGATGGGAGCTGTGGATGCTGATCCTAGTAGGCTCTGCTGATGCTGGAGGAGGAGGAGGAGGAG